ATCTGGGATCAGCAGTGCTTATCTGCATCAGTCACAATGCTCATCCACCTCCTTTGAGGTTTGCTCAGGCATCAGCTTCTGCGAAGGTGCACAGGTCAGAGCGGAATGCAAGGCAACTCAGCTCATGTGCAGCCTCTTGGGCCACCAGGTTAGGAGAGATGTGGCACACAGGATGGTGCAGAAGGAGTCTCGGATCCCTGGCTTCATCTCTCTTGCTGCCACAGGAATGGCACCTTGAAGCAGTACTGATGTGTCTTTTCACAGTGCAAAGGTGCTGTGGTTCCTGCCAGTATCCTCAGAGGCATTTCTGCCTGGTCTTCCTCTGGATTCCTATGGTCCATGGCTGACAGTCAAGTACTTCAAGGGCCAATGGGCTGCACTTCACATCAGGATCTCACCACACACCTCAGACTATACCATCAGATGTGGCGGACTGTAGAAATGGATAAATGACAACATAGTTGAGAGCACCCTTAATTCAGGGTTATTTGTCCTTTCTACTGGCTGCAGAATTAAGACAAAGTGCTGAACAATGATAAGAAATGGTTGGAAACATGTTGAAAATGAGGGAAATCATCTAATCATCTTCAACAGAGGTGAGGCCTCCTGCCACATCTATTAAAACTGTTCTGGAACACAAAAAGCCATCCTCCACGGTCTTGAAACTGCTCACCTGGAGAGGAGAGTCAGACTGGTCTGATCTCAACTCTTGTCGGCATCCTCCGAGTGAACCTAGTGCTCTTCTCAGAAATGACGGATGTCTTCTCTGCACACAGTAAACATTAACAGGAGTTTCTCAGTCACACCATTCCTTCAGTATTATTGTTTTAAAAGTAGAGCTTGCCAGCTTCTGTCACTGAGCACTACGCACCTAGGAGCAGACTCAGTCCCAGCACAGGTTGTCAAAGTGGATCTTCACAACAGGTCATTTTCTGACTCTAAGTCATACTCTCAGCCAAGCAAATTCTCTGGGGTAACTATTAATTGTTATTTTGTTTAATTTCACATTTTGGTGCAGCTGTTAGGTATCAGTGTCCACCACAGCTGCTGGAGCTGGTCGCTGGACTGAGTACTGACCAAGGAAGTCCTGGCTGTGCAGTGAGCACCTCTGTTTTATTCCTTTGAAAATAAAGTAGAACCTAGCCCAGATCAGCAAAAATCACTGATTAGAGATCTCCCCCTCCCAGAATAATGGGATTGACTTTGAAGTCATTAAAATTGCAAAGGTTTCTTCTATCTCACACCTCAGTAGCTGCTCAGGTTTCCCTTACACTGCCTAACAATTAATCGCCTTAGCTTGCAAGCAGAGAGCCAGATTGCCACCCTGTCACCTGGTATGGTTTGTCTGTAAGGCTGCAGCCTTCCTAGGGGTCTGCATGACCCCTCACAGTCTGGATGGACTATCCACAGAGGTGCACTGCTCCAGCACCAGTGTTAGGGGGTACTGACTGTCCTGCCACTGAAGCCAGTGCAATTTTTTTGCCTATATAGATACTACATTTACATTCAGATCCATTTAGCCTTGTCTTCTGCGTTCTGCTTGAGAGGAATCTATGTGTATATATGCATATGCATGGGTATATGTATACATTTAAACTTGCTGGGACTGTCTAGACCCAACGCTGGGCAGCTCTAGCCCCGTCCACTTCTCACCCAATAGATGACACTACAAAAAGCCATGATGTACTTGCGCAAGCTGGACTCTCAGTAGGTTATAATCTCTGCCCTGGACCTGAAAATCTATCTATGGCAAATCTGAACTATCTAGGCAAATTTCAGGCACGCCGCAGAGCTCATGAGTGTCTCCATACAGTCCTACATGTACAGCGAGTGCTTGCTATGGGGCAATAACAAAGCACAACACTTCAAAATAAGGAATACACTTCTGTCTTATACTGATTATCATTAAGATTTTACATTTATTTTTGTTTCCTTTTTTCCCTAACTCTAAGAATAAACTATGAAGACTAACACACAGCTTCTGGGCCCCATTTTGGCCCCTTTCCACTATGTCTAAGGGTTTGTCTGCAGTTGGTTATTCATCGAAAGAGCAACTCTGGATAATGATACTGGCTTTATATATATATAGGGAGGTGATTCTGCCCCTCTATTCCACTTTGGTGAGACCCCACCTGGAGCACTGTGTCCAGCTCTGGAGTCCCCAACATAGGAAAGACATGGACCTGTTGGAGCAGGTCCAGAGGAGGGCCACAAAAATCTTCAGAGGGCTGGACCACCCCTCCTACGAGGAGAGGCTGAGAGAGTTGGGACTGTTCAGCCTGGAGAAGAGAAGGTTCCAGGAAGAACTTACAGCAGCCTTCCAGTACCTAAAGGGGGCCTACAGGAGAGCTGGGGAAGGACTTTTTACTAGGGCATGTAGTGATAGGATGAGGGGGAATGGCTTCAAACCGGAAGAGGGGAGATTTCGATTAGATATTAGGAAGAAATTTTTCACTGTGAGGGTGGTGAGGCACTGGAACAGGTTGCCCAGAGAAGCTGTGAATGCTCCAGCCCTGGAGGTGTTCAAGGCCAGGCTGGATGGGGATTTGAGCAACCTGGGCT